TTAGGAGTTTTTAAAGATAGATAAGACACCTAGATTTAATTGTGTAGCAGAGGCTGGGATCAAGGCTCTGGCCTCATATTTTGTGTGCAGATCAATTTCAACCACCTCCACCCTCATGCCACCCCATCCTGCACTTTCACATCTGCTTTTATGAATGCTGTTCCTTCATTCAGACTATATTCTTCTCTCAATTCCTTCATCTTTCAAGACTCAATTTGGATATGACCTCCTACAATGTACCTCTCTCAAAACCCATACTGCTGTCACCACATATACATACCTAGGTTGGTTTACACACTACCCACCCTACTGATCTCTCCATAATTCCACTTAACAAAGCATTATAATTATTATGGCTATGTGTTCCATGAAAAATATATAAAATTGAAGTTGAGGATATAGCTCAGTGGTAAAGTGTTTGATTAGCATGTATGTGGCCTTAGGTTCAATTCCAGTATCACATACACATATGCACAGAAAATTGTTGAGAAGTACCAAAATTACAACTAACTTTAATGAAGTAAACAGAAATACCACCAGCTTGAAAGTTTTCTTCCTCGGCTTCCTGGTTTGTTCTTTCATCTGAAATTGTTGGTTTTATTAGCATTAACCTCATTCCAGTTGATTTTTATCTCTAAAATATCTGTTCTATATTCTAGACCAAATTCTCAAACTATGGAAAAATTTGAAACTTTAAATTGCAAGGCTATTTGGTTGGTGTCTACAGTGAACTCTGTTAATATTAATGACAATATTTAGGAAATCCTACAGTCTTCCTGAACCTCTGCTTCTCAATAGTGTATATTATGCCAGTGTCTGGCCTAGTCAAGACAGTGCCTTTCTTTCTTTTTTTTCCTTCTTTTGAGACAAGGTCTCCTTGTTGCCCCAGCTGGCTGGAATTCACTATGTAGACCAGGCTGGCCTGTATCTCCCTGGCTTCTGCCTTAGGAGTGCTAGGATTAAAGGTGTGTGCCACCACGCCCATCTTAAGCCAGTGACTTCTAACAGTTTCAGAGAAGGGCCAATTTTTAGAAACTAGAGAAAGAATTGGAAAAAAAAAGAAAAAAGAAAAAGCCAAAGCCATTAAATGTGTAGTTTGAACTATAGATGAAACTAAGTGCAAATACAACTCTAACTAGTAATACCATACATATGATAAAATGACCTAAGATAATATATAATATCATAATTCCTTTACCTTTAATTCTGTCTCTGCTCACACAAGGTCAAGGAGAACGCTTGCTTTCTGTTACCATAGATTAATTTCTAAGATGTCTTTTACAAAACAAAATGTGCTTGCATACAAAAGCAATCAAACTAGGAAGGTCATGTCTGAGAATGTGGAGACTTCGCAGCACGGTCCTTTGTGTGAGCCCCCTGAAGCACCCAGGAAGATGGTGGAAGTTTTTAGGATTTTCAAGGATTTCTTCTGACCTTGAGATACTTTAGCATCTAAATTCTTTTATTACAGAATTACTGTCTCATATAGGAAAGTCACTAACTAAAAATTAGTGTAGTTCTCAACTATTTTTATATCTATTAACTTACTGGGCCCTTTCCCTTTGTATAAGCAGAGTCCAAATTTTCAGACCAGGAAACTAAAGCAGATTGAAAGCAGCTCATGTCGAGGTCTCAGGCCCACAGGCCATGAGCTTTCTCACTGTTTCTGTTTCACACTTTCTATCCTGGAAATGTAGTCCACAACTAAATTTACACACACAATATTAAAAAATAAAGTATTAACTACTTCTAGCAAATGTGTAACAATATTTACATGGTATTTTTGAAGAGTAAATAAAGTCTTCAAATAGAACCCCTGGATCAGATAGTATTTACAATAAATAACACAAAGCCACATTCCTTCAAATAAGTAAAAAGAAGAAAACATTAAGCTTCATTGAAATAGAAACTATAAATATGCAGATTTCTAACCTTCGAGATGGAAATTTTCTTCTTCCTAAATTTTAGCTTAAATGTCAGGTGACCATGAATAAGGCAACTGAATTTTCACTTCAATTGAAATTTATTTGTATATTAGCTTTATCACAATAAAAAAAAAAACATGAGCAAAGGAGGGGATTATGCGGACTATGCTCAGTGTACAATACAGACCTGTATTAAAATGTCCTTATAGGACAGTCTCATGTATAATCAACACACACAGTGGAAAATTTTATAAAGAAAAATGCTAGCTGACCAATATTTGTAAAAGCAACTGTCCAATAATAATTCAAAGTACCAGATAAAAAAAATTTAGAAGACAAAAGGGGCATCCTTCTTTTTAAGCACGGAACACAGTTTAAGAAATGTCTTTCATGTTTATAAATTAGACACTTCATGGCAAGGCTATGCACAGTGACTTGCCAAAAGATAAAACTGGGCTCTCCATTTTAGGAATCAAGCACAGGTCAAATTCTTCACTGTCAATAGAAGAAGTCTGTTTCACAGTAGATTTCCAGGTCTAAATGATAACTTGCTTTCCACAATATTCAACTGCACGAAAGGAGAGTAAGACAATTTGGACATTTTCTTAAAATGTTCTGGGTTACGTTCAGGGTTGGGCATGATCTGTTGTGCCTTCTGTGCGTTTGCAAAGCCTGGGATGAGTTGAGTCCCTCAAGTTTCCAAGGTGGCAACAGTGAGGTGCTCTGAAGCACTGGGCAGAGGACTTCGTCAATGGCTTTCAAATTCTTTGACCACCCTCCCTTATCTTAATTTGTTTTCACCCTTATACATGATTTTTTTCTAGTCTTGGTAACCAAATGACACAAATTCAAGCAAAATAACAAACAAACAAAAAAAGAAACTGTTTGTACACAGGATCCATTCCCTGCCAGGTTTATAATAACTTGAAATCAATAGCAAAGCCTGGCAAATCCATTCTAGCCCTACTTTAACTTCTTGTACAAGAAAGCTTAAAATAGTTGACAGAGCGCCGCTGTTCACTACCATTACACAGCCTGAAAACCTTTGCCCTGGAGATCAGACCTGCTCAGTCTTCATCACAACCAGCTGAATGCTCCAAAAAAGCTGTGTGCTAAGTCAAAAGTGCCTAACCCATTTTAAGCTGAACCTCACGAAGGTAGAAGCAGATAAAAGACAATAAGAATAGCATTAAAAGCAACAGAAGATTCCAGAAAAAAGAAGTGAGAAGTCAGAACCATGAGAGATCATTTCAAGTTACCAACTTACTTTAATTTGGCAAAGCACAAAGTTAATGTATTTTATTCAAATATTGCCGTAGCCCTGGGGCCTAAGCATGAAATATCCAGTTCAGACAGTAGTATTGTATTATGTAGCTGTGAGTTCCCTGGAGCAGATGGAACCAGTTTGGAATAGAGTCACCACTTTGACTTGGTTTCTTCAGCTAACATCATTACCTCAGTGTCACTATGTCCCCTTTAATGTTTGATGTGCATAAGGAAAGTACTTTCAAAAAACATATTTCTTTTAAAAATCAATTAGTCACTTTTCTGTCCAAGGAATAGTGAACCACACTTGAGAACAGAGTATGGGGCAGGGGAACCAGGTGAAACTGCACCGTGCTTACCCCAGGAAACTGAACCCCGTGAATGTCGACTGCACAGTCTCGGGCCATCCATTTGCAGAGTATCAGATTACTTTTGACCATGAGACAGTTTATAAGTAACCAGTAAAAAGTTTACTATTTACGAGCAAACAATTTAACATTAAAACAGAGATGGTTCTTTGACGACGGCAATTAGCATCTTCATGTTCCAAACACCAAATAACATTTTCCCATTAATTTTTAAAACGCTGTGGCTTTAACTTAAGATAAACTGTACATCAAAAGAATGGAAAATAAACAGCCAGGAACACAATTTGACGAATTGGATTTATTTAGTTTATTTATCTAAACAGGGACCGCTGGATCTCTTTAATAGGCTGACAGTTGCACTGGGCTGGTTAATAAAACATTCAACACAGTGTCTTCAGCCAATATAGAAATGCAAATCCCACCAGAAATATTTTATTCATGAGGCAGTAATTTCAGTCACTACCATAATTTTTTAACTGGCACTCTGCAAACAAACAGTGCCATCTAGTGGCTAATGAGAAGCCAAATTTGTCACATGCTTAAAATGAATCTTACAAAATTTTACCTGTTTTTCATTTTTTTAGTTACTAGATAAAATCAAGAATACAAGCAAACAACAAAAAAGTTGACAGCAATCCATTAATTAAGAAGGATTATAGTAGAGAAAACTACATTAAAACCAATAAATTACATGTGCACATGAGCACATGAGCTGACACACACAATTTAGTACTTTTTCTGGAAAATATCTGCTTCAATTAAATAGAAAACCAAAACAATAGAACACTATAAAGCCATAACAAAAAGAATCCTTTACTCATAAAATGGCACTATAATTTACATTTCAATGATGAAAAAAGCATTGTTATATAGGAAAAAATGCAATGAACAAAACCCATTCCAGACTCTAACACCATTAAAAAAATAAGTTTAAAAGTTTACACAAAGATATAAATATGGGTGCACATACTCATATATATATATCTATACCAATAATACATGTCACCCTTGCCACGACTTCAGTGGATATTTTAACAGATCATAAAAGTCTACAGTACCTAAAGGCAACAGTCTCAAGACCAAAGCAGTCATCATAAAAATAGTCACACTGGAAAAACTATCAAAGCCTCAAAAATAAATAAAATCTATCAAGGCCAGCCTCAAGCTTAGCACATAAGACCAGTAATAAAATACTCAGATCATAATCCTGTTCCACTCAAGCACACAGGACAGGAGAAGGGTCAAGAACATGAACCTTTGATACTTCCTGGATGAAGGAACCGGAGTGGCACACAGCACAGATGGGTTCCCAGAAGGCAGTGAGTGCAGCTGAGCGCCATCTGCTGGTCTCTTCCTTCCACATTGGTGCACCTCCTATGTTCATCTTTAAAACTAAGAGGTCTCTATGAGTAGATTTGCCCACATTGAAAGTCTTAAACAAATGCCTTAAACTTATGAGTAAGGAAAATAATGATTCGCGGTGACGCCGGAGTCCTCACTGCCAATGTGAGACAAATTTTTGAATGTGGAAAGGTTGCCCCTAAGGCAACCCACCTACTTTGCGGGATCCCTAGGTGAAGTGATCTGCCTGACCCCTTGTATGCACTAAAGAGAGACAAGGAAGAGGTATGCTGCTGGGGCTGTGTTTGTCAGTTCATATCAACTGGGACATCATTTAGTAATGGTACTTGTTGGTGAAACTTTGATTAGGTAGACTGTAAAAAACATGGGGCTGGAGAGATGGCTCAGCAGCTAAGAACGCTGATTGTTCTTGTAGAAGACCTGGGTTCGAATCCCAGAACCCACATGGCAGCTAACAACTGTCCGAAACTCCAGTTCCAGGGGATCTGACAGTTTCTTCTTTTCTCCATGGGCATTGCACGAGACAGGTGTGCTTACCTACATGCAGGCAATACACGCAAACACATAAAATAAAAACAATGAAATATAAAAAAAAAAGTCTAAAACAAGAACCTTCCAAACAAGGAAGGCTAGGTCATGAAGGTGTGCTAACCATTTTACCTAGTGGAACCTCAGGAGTGGGGGAGCAGCTTACTAAGGAAAAGAATGTGTGTGTACATCACAGAATATCTAAATATGGCAACACTCTTTCTTTTTAGTCATAGGCACATAACTAAAAGAAATACCCTGTAGGTTCTGATATTAAAACAGTATAAAATGAGTTCAGGGTTAGAACAGAAACAGGGAACTACACATGTCTGCCATCTTCCCAGGAAGTTTCTCAGAAAAAGAAACCTCAGAGGCATTTAACTAGAAAGCCTGTAAAACCCCATAATCACAGGGAATAACAGCATCTTTCTCATACAACTGAGGATTGAATGAGCAGCACATAGAAGGTGCTTAGCCCAGGTCACCTATGCATGGTATTTGCTTTCTTTTCTTCATTTTTATGAGACAGGGTCTCCCCGTAGCCCCAGCTAGCCTGAACCTCACTATGTAGACCAGGCTGGCCTCAATCTCACAGAGATCCACCTGCCTCTGCGTCCCATGTGCTAATATTCTTTTAGTTTTATTATTTTTTTATGTGTATGAGTGTATTGCCTGCATGTACGTAAGTGCACCTGTGTTGTGCAATGCCCACAGAGTCAGAGAGGGCATTGGATCCTTTAGAACTGAAGTTATGGACAGTTACTAGCCACCACGTGGGTGCTGAGAATTGAATCAAGGTCCTCTACAAGAGCAGCCAATGGTCTTACCCACTGAGCCATCTCTCCAGTCCATGACTAGTATTTAAGTCACATTCCAAAATGGAGGAGAGACATAGAAAAAAATTAAAATGATCTAATGATCTACAATAAAGAGAAGAAGCACCCAGAACATGAACCTGTTGAATGCTGAGAGCAGCAAAACTGTCAATACCCTTCATTACAGCACAATAAATTGTGGAGTAAATAGTACTATACTTGGATTCAACAAAAGTTAAAATGCTGAATACAGTATGCACCCATTAAAATGATCAAGAATTTATAAAAACGGAAAATACCAGTATTAGAACTTACATCTTGGGGGCTGGAGAGATGGCTCAGTGGTTAAGAACACCGACTGTTCTTGCAGAAGACCCAGGTTCGAATCCCAGCACCCACATGGCAGCTAACAACTGTCCATAACTCCAGTCCCAGGGGATTCGACAGCTTCTTCTGTCTTCCACAGGCATTGCACGACATGGGTGTACTTAGCTACATGCAGGCAATACACGCATACACATAAAATAAAAATAATAAAACATTAAAAAAACATATCTTAAAAATGTGGATGAAGTGATATCGTTATTATGAAAAATAAATGAAATTAATGTAGGAGAGAGAAGATTTTAGAAAATGGGACTGGAGAGATGGCTCAGTGGTTAAGAGCACTGGCTGCTCTTGCAGAGGACCTGGGTTTGGTTCTCAGCACCCACATGGCAGCTAAAATCCACTTGTAACTCTAGTTCCAGAGGATCCACCACCCTCTTCTGGCCTACACATGCACTGTATGACACAGGTGCTTTTATACCTACAGGCAAAACACTTATACAGATAAAATAAATAAATCTCCCCCAAAAAAATTTTTTTTAGGAGTTTGGAAAACAAACACTGGGCATGGTAGCACACACCTTTAATCCCAGTGCTTTCAGGTCAGTGGCTGGGGCTATACGAAGCTCTGTCTTTATTAAAAAAAAAAAAAAAAAAAGAGTTTGGAAAACAACAACCCAACCCAAAATGTAAAGAATGATTCTTCTGGAGTAACAGGGCTAAGGTGATGTTTTTCTTCATTCTACTTTTCTTTATTTTCAAAATATTTTGGAATGAGCAGGTATTTTTATATAGACTCAAGCACAATTTTCTAAACAGCAGACACAATAAGTGTAGACAGTGAAGGGAAGTTCTTCTGAAATGGTTCTGACAGTCTGGCTCTCCTATTTCTTTTTAGAATACATGCATATTCCTACAAGAAGGTTTGGGTTTGTGATAACTGTTACATATTACCACATGCTTTCATGGCTTCCCATAGTTTCCAAAAGAACAGAAGCAAAATATCTCCAGGAGCCACGACTGTAGGAAAGATAACATGCAAACAGAAGCATCAAGTTCTTGACCTTTCACAAAAATCAAATTTTAAATCCATCTCTTTCATTCACAGTTTAGTCCGAGACTTTTTTAAAAAATAGGAGATGCGCACTGGTTGCCTTCAGATACTCAAGTTGTCGGTCCACCTGTGAAAAGGCAGTGCAGGTGGTGGCGGCAAAAGCTTCAAGCTGTTCCACAACATCCTTTGAACCCTAACCCGAGGGACCAACTCCAGCAGTCGGAAGGCAGTTGGATTTCTAGGACCATTCAGCCTCACTCTGAGACTGTCAATAGAAGTGCCATTCTGTGATGTAGACAGCTCTGCACTGGGAGCTGGTCTAACAATCACATCACATAGCCTGCCAAACAGGAAAAGGACAGCATTCAGGCACACCGACCTGAGAGAGGAGTGAACCTGAGGCTGGAGCTACAGAGCTCTACTTCTAAGGATCATTACAATCTAATCTTCCGCTTTTGTGTGCGCCCGCGAGCGTTTGGGGGAGGGGGGTTCTTAAAGGAAGTTCAGCTTTGTTACAAGGGGAAAAAAAGAAATATGCAACTACACAGATCAACCACACGATGGCGCTCCTAGCACAATGTAGTATCGTGTAGGGAGCCACATCTCACCTTCGAATCTCTGGTACACCTCTTACGTGTTCTCTCTCTACTTACTGAGAGTTGGTCTAACATCTTAAACACATTTAGTACTTTAAATACTTCAGGGTATTTATTTATTTGTGTTTTGTTACGAAACAATCTTAGACTTGGAAAAAAACCAAAAAAACAAAACTTCAACTCACTGTTTTTTCTTTTCCTGGTTCATTTTCCTAGGACACCCTGGAATCCTGGCCTCTGTGGGGCTCACCTCACATCTTTCTCTCCTCTCATCTGGGGACTGAAACTCAATGCTGCCTTCTAACTTCTGAAACAACTCCTTCATACTTTTTGTTCATTCTTTAAGTCCCAGGGAACCTCATGACAATACTGAAAATATAAATTAAAAGAACAGCATTAAATACATGAATGCTAATAGTCTAAAAGTCTGTTTTAAATTATGTAAAGATATTATTGAATAACTTTTTATAAGAACCTGACATTTGGGGAGGAGGGATGGCAGAGGATCATAGCTCCAAAAGGAGATCAGACCATGCCTGGTTCTAAACAGCTGTATGACTTTACGTCAGGTCAGCTGGGTCCCTGTCCTCTACTTCTTCACCTAAAAATAAAAGGATTGGATAGGAACTCTTCTGGACCTCATATTTGTAACTTAACCCAGGACTATCAGAAGAACCCTACTGAGCTAAAGGAGGCCAAAAATCAAGAACAGAACCAGGGTGGATGAAGAGAACCTTCAAGAACAGTAAATGTTGCTCATGTTGTTATCAAAGTGATCACTCCCTTCCCTTAACAATTATAAGTTATAGTCTCACTTTCAAAAATCTTTTACTATGTTTTTGCATGTGTATGTGTATAGTGTGTTTGTGTATATGCATGTTTGCATGTATGTGGGTGCACTGGAGTGTGGAGTTGCTAAACTTAGAGTTTATGGATTCTGACTGGGTTAGCTGGCCAGCTTGCCCTGGGGATCGCCTGAGTGTTGGGATTTAGGGGGGCTCCCTGCCTGGCTTCTATGTGGTTTCTGGGATCTGAACTCTGGTCCTGACACTTGCACAGCAAGTGTTTATCCACTGAGTCATCCCCTCATCCTCTCAAAAATCTTTTAAATAAGTATTCAGCTCACCTTAGGAGGCAGACCCTGGAGTTTGGGATTGCTGAGACAGGTGAAATTGAAGAAGACAATAGGGAGAGGGAGCCACACACAAGACCTCCAGACTCTGTAACATGGTCCGAGAGGAAGTCTTTAGTGGAAAACAAACTTACACATGAAAAGGACCTGATCACATCAGGTCTCATGCAGAACAGGTGTGACTGTGGATTCACTGAGAATTCCAGAAGTTGCCCAATACATGGAGACAGATTCTGAATGAACAGAAGGGAGAGCACTCACTGAACATACCAGTCATTCCAGTGGATCCCAGCAGTGGTCACACATAAGTGTAAGGCAGCTGTAAACCCATCCTGACAAAGCTCAACAGTACACCTGTTAAGATTACGGTGATCTGAAGTACATTAGGTAACTGAATGAGGCTCAGTATGGCTGAAAGCCTGCAATGTCCACTGGGGTCCCATCATGCCATAGACCCAATTCCAGGGAAAACAAAGGATCTTAGATGTTAACTACAAAGTGTGTGGCCCTCCAAAAGGCCATAGTATGTACTGAAATATGTAGAATCTCATAGGCGAATGAAGAGGTGATTCAGAAAAAAGTATCTGGCTTTAGATGCAGCTAGAATCTCATAGGCAAATGAAGAGGTGATTAAGAAAAAAGTATCTGGCTTTAGATACAGCTCAGTGGCAGAGTGCTGGCCTAGCTTACTCAGAGCTCTGAGTCCCATCACCAACACCAAATAAAACCAGATATGTGGTGGTATATGCGTGTAATCTCAGCACTCTGAAAGTGCAGGCAGGAGGCTCACAAGTTCAAGGTCATCCTTGGCTACATAGAGAACTGGAGGTCAGTCTGGGCTACACGAGACCTGTTTCAAAACAAATAAATGATAGGTAAGGTAATGCTTTAAAAGGATCCTTAAAGAGGCAATAATGAAAGTAAATGAGTAGATATACACTGCTCTGGATCTTGAGGAAAATGTAGAAATACAGCCTTTCAACAACATAGGAGCCACCATACAACAGTGACATTAATAGGCATGTGACGAAGCAATAAGGGAGTTAAAAATCTAGACGCTTACCTGGGTTGTACTCAAGAGACAAGGAGGGCACACTCAAGTTCGAGTATTAGAAGAATCCTGGAGTGCTGGTGAAGGTTTTAGAACAGAACAGACCTAGGAATGGAGCAAGGCTTCTAGAAGGGGAATGATAGGCTATCTGAGTGACAGGACTGCTCAGTCTCATCTCTCTCAATTAGATGTGCAAGGTTATGGACACAACTCCAAAGTAACCACTTCTTTTTTAAAATTTGTTTTTCTTTTAATTGTGTGTGTGTGTGTGTGTGTGTGTGTGTGTGTGTGTATCTGCATGTGGTTTGTGCATGTGCATGCAGGCACACTCAGAGGCCAAAGATGTAGGATCCCCTGGAGCTGGAGCTCCAGGCAGTTGTGAACCTGATATGAATGCTAGGAACTGAAGTCAAGTCATAGCAGTACATGCTCCTAACCTTAAGCCATCTTTCCAACTCCAATAACCACTTCTTACTGAAAGTGACTCTTGTTTAAAGGACTCTGGGGCAAAGGTATCTGGTAAAGAGTAAGCACTATGGACCTGGGGCTGTGAAAGGACTTGCAAGGTTAGCATAGACGGGGATACATGAAACCACAGGAATGGGGGCAGGGTAAGAGAGGAGAGTAGGCAGAGCAGACTGATGAACGCAAGCAGATGAAGGCAGTCAGAGGAGATACTAAGAAAGCTAGCAAGCAGACAATGAGGGACTAAGCTGTCCTTTGCCTCTTCCCATTGGCATAAAGGCTCTCCCCAAATCTTAATGTCACAGGGGAAAAGGAGACTAGGAAAACAGCTTCAGTGACAGAAAAAGAGAGGAGGACAGAAGGAGGGAAAGGGGGGAGGGGGAAAGAGAGCATACCTCTATTCCTTTTTCTTGGAATTCATTATTTCTAGGTATGGCATTTTACCCAAAGGATATTTTCCATTCATTTTAAAACTATAATTTTTTTAAAAACTTCTTCGAGGGGCTGGAGAGATGACTCAGCAGTTAAGAGTACTGGCTACTCTTGCAGAGAACCTAGGTTCGAATACCAGTACCCACATGGCAGCTAACAACTGTCCTAACTCCAGTTCCAGGGGATCCAACAGCCTCTTCTGACCTCCATGGGCATTGCATGACATGGGTGCACTTACCTACATGCAGGCAATACTCAAATAAAACATAAAATAAAAATAATAAATAAAATATTTTTTAAAAGTTAAAAAAAGGGAAAGAGACAGAGATAGAGAGAGAATCGAAACAAGAATTGTGACTATTTTCTAGACTCTATTCAAATATTTCATGTGCTATGGTGTGGTGAAATGAGGAAAGCAGTGAGAGTCAACAGACTGGTCCCAGAGCCAGCTGCAGTGGTGTACAACTGGAATCCCAACAACCCAAGAGGTTGAGGCTAGAAGGTTATTTGGACCCTGGAGTCTAAGCTCAACCTCAGCAATAATAGTGAGACTCCACTGCAAAAATATAAACAAACAAAAGAACCAAAGGGATCACAAACTTCTCCAAGTCCCCTAGTACCCTCTCATCAATCTCCAAGAAAAGCCAAGGACTTTTATGGCCCCTAATGCCCTAACAAGTATTCTTCTGCATCCCTCTACAACACATGCACCCCTCTCTGCCTTTAAGTCACAGAGCGCCCTGACAAAAAACACCTGCCATCCTGCTGCCCGTTCCTTATCCAGTCCCTCATCTTATTTTCCTTAAAGTACTACTGCTTTCTGAAGCTGCAATGCACATGTATTCTATTTATCTTCCCCATCACCAGACCCTCTCCAGCCCCATTTTAGCGAGAATTTTGCGTTGATTCTTGCTGTACTCCACCACCTCGGACAGGCCTGCTAAACAGCAGAACTAAAGAAGACTTATTGAAGAAAGTCTGTAACTCATCTGAGCCCCTCAGTTCTATCATGGTATGTGTTGAGGTCAGTAACCCACATGTGTTCTGTCTTCTCCATACCGCAAAATGAAGTCATTTATGGTAAAGAACTTTATAAACTGTAAATGACTGAAAGCTAGGGGTGGTAAAGGGGTAGAAAGACAAATACCATGTGTTCTCACTTATTTATGGAAACCATCGTCAACCCTGTAGATGCACAAATGGAAGAGTGGTCACTAGAGACAGGGAAGGGGGAAGGGAGACAAAAAGAAATTAAGATGGGCTTTTTAGGGGCCAAGGAGGGTGTTGGGGGAAGGGGAGCAGGAGTTTGGGCTTGATCTATGTATGGAAATATCACAGTGAACCCTATTAGTGTATGCAACTTATATATGTTAGATATAACAAGGAATAATGAAGAAAGCTGTGGTAGTAAATACACATATAAGCACATGAATATTTAATGACAGTCTAGGGAACAAAGTTTAAGTTCATAGTTGTTTCCATTTCTCTTTGTGGTAGAAAATATCGCGTAGAAAGAAACATTTGCCCAAAAATATAATTTCTAAATATCTAAAGTAAAGGATCTTACCCAATATTAAATGCTTCAGGAAACAAAGTAGATTAAGCATTGGGTTAGATGATGTAATAAACCACAGAACTGAAATAATTTATCTTTTTAAAAGCTGAAGAAGAAAATATTAAAACTAAATTTAGTGTTCTGGGCTGAACTGTATCTCCTTCAAATTAATACACTGGAGCCCTATCTGTACAAGTGAGGATGTGGCTTTATTTGGAGACACAGTATTCACAGAGGTAAGTTAAATGATGCCATTAGTGTAGGCCTCATTTCAATATGACAGTGCCCTTCCATGAAGAGAAAAACTAGGACATAAGCACGCAGAAGATCCTGTGAAGACAAGGTGAGGCACTGACACACAACAGAGAAGCCAGAATGGACTGATGCTGCCAGAGCCTGTCCCAAGCTGCCAGCCTTCAGAGCTGGTTCAGCTACATTATATCATGTTTAGAAGGCTGGACAGCTCTTCATATGCAGAGACATTTAGTGTCTCTATTCCCCCATCAGTGGGCTGGGAGCTGCTGCTGTGAAACGCTATGAACATATGTGCACACATATCTTTTCGAGACCAGTTTTCCATTCTTTTGGATGCATAACCACAAATGGGATTTACCTGACTGTGTCTTTCTCACTCTAATTACTAATAAGTTTAACATTTTGTCTTTACTTTTGTATTATTAAATATGCTATAAAATGGATAGAATTGAAAGCCTGATATATAAGAAAAGGAAGTTAATATTATCATGGGAGAGTCAATAGAAAGGATCACTTATACAAATTATTGAGGGTCTAGAGAAAGTGTTCAGCAGTTAAGAACACTGGCTACTCTTGCGAAGGGCCCAGGTTCGATTCCCAGCACCCAAATGGTAGCTAACAACCGTCCTTAACTCCACTTCCAAGGGATCCAGTGCCCTCTTCTGACCTCCAAGGGCACTGCACAGTACAGGTGCATCTCTCTACATACAGGCAATACACTCATACATATTGAACAAAAATAATAAATGAATAGGCCAGGCATGGTGGCACATGCCTTTAATCTCAGCACTTGGGAGGCAGAGGCAGGCAGATCTCTGTGAGTTCAAAGTCAGCTGGTCTATATAGTAAGTTCCAGGCCAGCTGGGGCTACAGGGAGACCCTGTCTCAAAAAGACCAAATAATAATAATAAAGAATAATAATAATAATAATAAATGTAATGTTTTTTTAAAAAGCAAATTATTAATCGAAAGTAGCTTTTACATCTGGGAGGAAGCATAGTATGTCCTTCTAGGCCTCTAGTGAATGTAAAGTCTTACCCTAGGAGAAAACACACATAGAAACACCCCTTCAAAAATAGGAATGTACTCTCATGGGATTTGGTGTCCATAATGTCCATACAAAGACACTCCATTTTTGTGTGTGAGGAAACATGTGCATGTGGGTGTGCCTGTACATGCATGTGAGACCAGACACTAATGTCAGCCATCTTCCTCTATCATTCTCATTCTCCATCTTACTTTTTGAGATGGGTTTCTCACTGAATGAGGTACTCACCAATTGGCTAGGATAATGAGCCAGTGAGAGCCGAGGATCCAACTGACTCTGCTCCCCAGTGCGAGGGTTACAGACATGGACCACCACACCCAGCCTTTCACATGGGTGCTAGGGATCCAAAGTCAGGTCCTTATGCTTGTGTGGCAGGCACTTTACCCACAAAGTCATCTCCCTAGTCCCATGGACATCCCATGGTAAAGGATAAATGTGCTTTAAGGCCAGAAAAAATGGGCTTGTGCTAAATACTAATAAATACTATTCAGACTCAGAGGACTGTGTGACTTGGGTAGATTTGTGAGGCATGAATCCAGCATACCTTAAATTCCATCATTAACTATCTTTAACTACCCATCAACTCCAATTCCTAAACAAAGCTGTTGCTTGTCTTTTTTAGACCCCCTCCCCACCAAGACTGCGTATTTAATGCTGATTAAGGTATGAGGGGGAGCAATGAAAAAAAGAAGTGGAAGTTCAGCTTAACACTCAGTAAGCACCACAAAGAGTAGAACTGACTCACAAAATCTGTTTCCAGTTTTCCCATCTCTTGCTTGTAGCTTCTCATTCTGTTACTGTACATTCCTCGACTCTGGGGTGGTATTTCTCTGACTTCCAAATCCATCTGCTCAAGCTAGGAAGGGGAGAGAAAAATGTGATCTAAACCATGTGTTTATTCTTCAGTCGCCCAAATGTTTAGTCCTGAAAGGATTTAATTCTAAGCCCTTGTTTTATGGCTAAGGAACCAGACCTATGGCACTGACTGTTCAGGACCAAATAACATTGGAATTATTTTGAGCTTAATTTTCTTATTAGGTCAGTAAGTAGTTATAGAGGCAGTAACACAAAGTGTAAGCTGCTTTGTCAAGAATTTCTTTTAAAACATATACATTAATACAAACATTTCCATTAATTCAATTTGAATATCCTTGGAGTAGCCAAAATTGTCCAGTCCAATTTGGTCTGGCCTTTGGACCATGAATCTCCAGAATGATGAGTGATTGGTTACTTCCTATGGCTATGGCTGATCCATGAAATATCAGCCCAGCCTTAGTCACTTGGAGGAATTTCATTGGGAAATCTTTTCTGATTAGGAAAATCTCATGCCAACCAACATGGGACCTCAGCCTCCAGCCTAACTCTTACACATTGTAACCATCTCAATGAGGAGTTAAATGTATAAGCAATATGCTAAATTATACACTGATCACTGAAATCACAGCAGGGTATGTTTTAACCACCTGTCATCTAGCACATGAGAGTTTAATGGGTGGCAACATAGACAAGCCTCAGTTTTGTAGTGAGACTCTGTTAACACTGTAGACCCCACTACTCTCCAACCACGGAGACTGGGAAAGGAGTCTTAGTATCTCTCTACCTTGTTTTTCTCACTTCTAAAACAGTATGTCTTTCCTAAGGCAGCTGTGAGGACTGAGTAGTTCATATAAAGTATTTAAAGCACTAGATCACTAGATTGATAGTAACTGTAATGATGATGATTGCAAAGAAACAGAGCGAGCACTCTACAAGGCAGCAGAGGTAGCTAATCTGTATATGCTACAAAATATATAAACCAGGAACATCAGCAAATTGGCCCAGGCAATGCTGATAACTTCCATGCAAAAACACTGCAATGTATCTGCTTCTTACAGCATTCCAACATATTCCCATGCTCAATCATGCTCATCACCAGAGGTAGATACTGAATAACTATAGAACACAGATAAGCCAAATAATCTAGTGCAATAAACAGACATCCACTTTTATAAGAAAACAGGATAATTTTAGTTAGGCTTTTAAAAATAGTGATTGTATTGAGTGTGGTGGTGCATGCCTTCAATCCCAGGGCTCCATGAGGCAGAGACAGGCGGATTTCCATGAGTTGGAGGCCAGTCTGATCTACACTGAGATCACATCTGTCCTGTTTCCCATTCCCACAGTGCACATGGTAAGCTATAGGAAGGGACCAACTTGAAGGGCTGTGTTAGATGAACATACCAATTCCTTTGCCTCTTCAAGCTGTTTCTCCACATTGGCAACCATTTGTTTTTTCTCATCTGAAACAAACAATAATATCAAAGAACTGATGATGATAAAACCCAGATGTAATAATACTTTAAAACCTTCTACTTTAACATACCCTTTTCCTTCCTCATCACAGGAGCACAACCTTCTTCAGTAGGTTAGAAACCACATGGAGCCACTGAATCTCTGGTGTATGGAAATGCATAATCCAATGAAGGACCTAATTCTTAGAGGTATCATATATTTATACGAGAGGCTAAGAAGCATTTTCTTCTTTAAGAGACACTGTATCAACAATAGCAGACACAGCAGTAGCTTGAAGAATGCGCAAAACCATAGTTGTAATAAACTGGAATGGTTGATTTATAAATATGTTCTAAAAGGACTTATAATCCTTTATTATACTTTCAATAACATCAGGAATAGGGTATGATAGAAGAAATCGGTATTTGAAGTCTGGATTTCTGATTCCAAACCCCCCACTGTCTTACTGGTTTGGGATCCTGGACAAGAAATAGTTTTTTGGTTGTTTGTTTTTCCTGAGATTCAGTTTCTATTCCCTAAAATGAGTATTTAAAAATATATATCTACTGTATTATTTTCAGTTCAAATAAGCCTAATGATAATGACTTGACTGTTAAATTTTGAGATGCTTAGCTTCCACATGTGGTTTATTCACATACTCTCACAACCATGCCATTAACCAACCATAATTCCCTTCCCTAGAAGGGACATGTCTTGGCACATAATTTCAGAGAAAATTTCCACAGCCCCACTCCAAGTCAATCAGCAAATTCATTCACAGACCCCACTTAAATTTTGTACTACCCAAGTTTGTTGAACATGCATAGTTTTTTGCCCAGCCCCCTACTCCTCTCAGGCAAGAGCACCCACTCTCCTGAGACCCCCATCTTCACAAGCAGGTCAACGGGAAATGCTACTTCCTTATACAACTCTGTCTCTCCAGTCACAGTGCCCAGGCAAATGACGGATGTCTCATTCTAGCTGGACTCATTCTTGTAGCTCAACCCCTTGTTCACAGCGAGGTGAGGGAGGTACATGACCCAAGGAAACCAATTCATTTTCTAGAGCATGTGATTTTCTTCCAAACAGTAAGGAAAGTGGGAGACATACTTTACATTAAAGACGCCTGAAAAACACTACCTCGTCCAGGTAATCAAAATTAGTATCAAGTTTGATAAAAATTGAGTATATCTGCTTGATATTATGGGATGGAAATGCAGCTTTACCCCTTTGGTCTCTCTCCTCAAAAGTCATTACCCCAAGATAAAACCTTGGGAAATATCCCAGTTGAGGAACACTATACACAGTATCTGGCCATTACTTCTCTAAACTGCTAGGTCACTGAAAACAAGGATAATCCAAGAAGCTATTACAGCCCAAGGAGCTCGAGGAGCTATGACTGCTTAATGTTTTATGGTATCCATGACTGAATCATGGAGTAGTCAGAGGACATTGGATTAAAAGGAAAAGAAGAGGAAGAGGAGGAGGAGGAAGAGTTCATTCTCTTAAGCAAATGTATCAAGGAATGTTAATAACAGAGAATGCTGATATGGGTGCATGAGTACAGACTCATGTGTGTTATTTTTGTGATTTTCCTATACATTTCAAACTGTTATAAAAACAAAAACTTTAGGGCCAGGAGTTCAGCCTACTGGTTGGGCACCTACCTATGAAAAGTGAGGCCTTGACCAAAGAAACTCCTCTCTGTAGTGGGTAGCAGTTAATGCAGAGTAATAACTGGTCAAAGTGCTGAGATTGACTATTGAGTGTTCAGCCTAAGTGGGACATGTATATCAAACACCTTCCCATCAGGGTTCAGGGAACATCACGGAAGAGGGGGAGGGAAGAATGTAAAGCCAGAGGACAGGAAGGGTGCTGTGAATGTTGTCTTCTGAATATGGCATGGTCACTGCACTCATGAACTCAATGCAGCTATAATTACCTGCACAAGATCAAATCAACAAGAGCAGTCAATATTCCAAAAGGAAGCACTAATTGGACTCAGTGGGTTGAGAGAAAGAGAGCAAGAGAGACAGAAAGAGAGACAGAGATAGATAGAGAGAAAGAAACACATGAAGGGGGAGTGAGAGTGTTGGAGGTGCCTAGGGGAGTGAGAGAAGAAGGGAGTTTAAAGTGGATATGATCAAGATGCACTGTTTACATGTATGAAACTATTGAGGAATTAATAAAAGGGATTCTATTAAAAAAAGATTAAGGACCTGGGTTCAATCCCCCCAGTACCACAAAATAGGTTGTTTTTGTTTGTTTATTTAATGAAACCATTACTTAGATTGACTAAACTGTTGCAGGGTAAAAGGATTAGTGGGGGCGGGGAGTGAATGATACATATCTATATGTGTGCTTATTATTCAAAGACAAATAAAATTCCATAAATATTTAGTTTTTTTATGAAACATAACTGAGCCATAGGTAACAGCTGAAGGCTCTTTTCTGTATATGCTCAACTGAAAAGCTGGATCTTGCCCAGCAGCTGATGATGCTCCCCACAGACAGAAATATAATGTAAGCCATACACATAATTTTAAACTTCCTAGTAGCCACAGTGTAAAAAATGAAAGGAAGCAAGTGAAATTAAGAAGGATATTGTTATGATAGTATTTAACCCCATATATTCAATATGTTATCTTCACTGTGAAGTCTCTCCCTACATTCACACCTTGCAAAAGCAGAAGGCAATTACTTAGCAATGTATGGCCTTATTCAGATCTGGCTGTTTCAATGGTCTCCTAAATATTCCAGGACAAGCACAGTCAATTCATTACCTTGAGTATTTCCTACTAGAAGACATCTGTCTTGCTCTATACCTTTTACTTTTTTCCCTTGATTTCCTTCCTGATACCCTGAATTCAAAACCCAATTCCACTTCCATGTCCCAATGCTCTGAGCATCACTTTTCTTCAAATGTAGGTTTTCATCAAGAGACTATAACATAACTCTTGTTCAGCCACAGAATGGAAGCAAGAATGTAGGTGTAAGGTTCCTAGGTTCCTTTAAGAATACAATTAAGATCAAAAAGTCTAAAGGTCTGGGTCCTGGTCAACCCTGCCCACGGCTGTTTTAGCACAGGAGTGATAGCCACAAGAGTTAGTTTATTACATTTTCTCTGCACAAGAACAGTGCTACTGTGCTGCATGCTTTATTTTGCTTGCATTTTACAGCACTTTCAGCTTACAATTATTACCCTGCCCTCCCATTCTACAGATGGAAGAGGCAAGTCTACAGAGATCAATTTGTACTAAGCAGCAGAAGTGGTATTCTAAGCAAATCTGACAGCAGCAGCCTGAGACTTCATCGTTTCGCCCTAATACTTTCTTGGTAGTTTCTGAATATGAGGAGAAAGAGACAGCATTCACAAAAGACCATCCATGACTCTGTGCACCAGGAGAGAAATAAAATTTTGTTGGAGATCCTCCAAGGTGCCTGCTTGGTGTCATGGAAACCTTGCCCCTGAACAGAGTACCCTTCTGCTTAGGAATTCACACCTATCACCATAAGAAAAGGACCTCACAACAAAGTCTGAGTTTGGCTTTTGCTCATTGATTTTCCTAACTTTTCAACAGAACAATAATCACTAAAAATTCACCTTTAAATTCAGTAACCACAAAAATATCCATTAAGTGACTCCTCTTCTGAAAATTACAGTTACTAAAATTAGTTAAGATTCAAACACTTCAAGAGCCAAATTTTTTATTGTTAAAAAAATTACAGACCAATCAAATTTCTTTTTAAAATAAAGTTTCAGAATGTTCAATTTTTTTCTATTCTCTTTGGAAATAACATTAATACAACATACATGCACAGCAGACAGCAGTTCATTCCCATTATCCTAAGTACCATAACTGAAATATATTAGCATGTTGGGGAATGACTTGAATGCTTTGACTTGAAGTTTGCTCCAATTTTAAATCTGCTTAACTCAAGTAAATGATAGCTTACCCTGGATCAAATTTAGCTGATTGTCACAGCCATGAATGAAGTTGTGAGGGAGATACTGAAACTACCTTCTACCATATTCCTCTTCCATACTTGTACATAGAACCCCTGTTAGTCCACGGGTACCCATGTGAAGTTCATGAATTCATCAGTTAATTTTTTTAGGAGCAGGTTATAAAAAAAGCAAGCACAAATCATTAAGAGGGAAACCACTAAATTTTAAAGAGTCATTTCATTACTCAAATAAGCATTTATTTTCCAATGCCAGCTAGACAGTCTTATTTTAAATGAAATGTGTTTGGGTTTCATATTATACTACAAATAAGGAGCAACATAGTATTATTTAAGTCACTTAATTCAACTGTTTTCTTCTATGTGGTTAGAACTGTTGTATTGAAAACATAAAGGCAAGGGGCTGGAGAGATGGCTCAGTGGTTAAGAACACTGGCTGTTCTTGCAGAAGACCCAGGTTTGAATCCCAGCACCCACATGACAGCTAACAACTGTCTGTAACTTCAGTTCCAGGGGATCTGACAGCCTCTTCTGTCCTCTGCGGACACTGCATGACATGGGTACACTTACCTACATGCAGGCAATACACACATACACATAAAAAATAATAAATAAAATATTTTTTAAAAAACATAAAGCAAGAAAACTCAATTATAACAAAAATCTATTTTCTTGGAAAGCCTTTACAACTTTGTAGCCAGGATGATATTACTTTGTGAAACAGTCTCCCAATATTAAAAGCTATTTACTCAAAGACATGTTTCTACTGCTTGAACGATTACAATGAAAAGTGAACAAAACTCCAACCGCAACTACAAATTCTGACACTCTGAGGCTCTGAGATTCAAACACAGCAGTCTCAGACAACAATGGCAACAAATCAAGATGATCTTGGGCAGCTGAGAGAAGCAGAATTGAAGAGAAGAGGTGAGGTGATGGATCATGAAGGCAGAGGGCCACCAGCCACTTTCTCCACAAAAATCTGAGGCAGCAGAGCTCCGCAGTATATACTACCTTGGTTCTCTCCTCTTGCTCCCTTACTTGGACTCATAAACCTCTTTAAGACATCATCCACCTCCTCCAGAACTAACTGGGACTTCAGGAGATGAGTGAGGTGTAAGTTCAGAGATCCTGGCTTCAAGCAAATATCCCTAGTAACAGAAAACAGGTGGGGGGGGGACAAGAAAATAAAGGAAGAAAATTATTTATAAACACAAAGTCAGGGGGAATTAGGGAAAGGGGAAGAGGAATGACAAGTTAGATCAAGAGAAGTTATTGCTGGCATCATGAACTTGACTGACCAGGTAAGAAAATAAAGTTGTCCACAACTTTACAGATCAGTGGGCATCATCTTTTCTAAGCCCACTTTTCTATGCCTCTTGACTTTATGCTCAAGAGCTCAAGTGGAGTCAAGTCTAGCAGCCCAATGATAGTTCAATTTCCTTAATGAAAATGAACCAAAAAGTAAAACTCCTGTTATTACTAACTATTCAAGTTAAATCTGTACTAAAAATAAATCTAAAGTACTAACAACAAAAGTCACAAGATATCATATTATGTTCACCTGCTCACATAAACATTTTTCTGAGCCCATAGAAAATAAATATCAAGGAATCAGACATCACTCTCACTTTCTTATGGTTGACAACCTAACATGGAAAATAAATACGTGGGAAGAAACCGAAACAACTCCAGATGGGAGATGTGAAATTTAAAATGTGAGCAAAATTATCCTATATCAAGTTTCAGTTATAGACCCCCAAGAAGAATGAAAAGCACAAAAGGGGGGTATGAAAAATACTAATCACAACAGGAGCTAACACCACAAAGGGCCCCACACATTACTTAATCTTCACAACCATCACATGAGAGATGTACAGTTCTATCTTACCAAAAAGGAAGTTGAGAAATTAAGAAATTTGCATAGGAGACAACTTCTAAGTGGTAACATTAGGATTTGAATCCACGCATCCTGGCTCTTAGCTCCGTCTCATATAATAACACTATTATTTACAAATCACAAAGTTGCTGTGTTTGAAGATCCACGATCTTGCATTTTCTTTGAATACTCACATCTTAATATTTTACAAAAAAAAAAAAAAAAAATCAGAGCAACTGCTTCCAAGGTTATACAAGCTCAAAGGTGATGGGAGCAGGAATTCGACCCCAGAATCGGTTCCCATTCAAAAGCCTTAAGTGCATTTGGAGTCTAGCTCCAACCAACCAAGTCAACCCTATCCCTCCCAGCTGACGCCAGCACCTTCCACACCCGCCCCAACGGCCCCGCGCGGCTCCCAGCTGTCCATGCCGCCCCCGCCCGGCCGGGGCAGGATTCTCACCTGGCGGAAGTCGGGGGACCCTGGAAATCTTGCTAGTGATCTCAGCAGTGAGCACCGCGAAGTCCTGCTCATAGCCTTCGAAGTCGGAAGACATGACAGCTCGGGAGCGGCCGGCCAGGGCCGGAGCCTAGCTGAGGGCAGGAGTCACGAAAGCCGCGGCGCAAGGACCCCTGGAAAAACTGTCCACAGCACGGCAGGGAACCGGGGACAGCTCCCAGCCCAGCCACTTCCTGGTTGTTCTTCGAAATCGCTGTCCTCCGGAAACTGGGCTGGGTGCGCCTTTTATTTTCCGCTCACTATTCGGAAGCCAGAAATTCACTTGATAAAACTCCCAGATTTGTGTCTCCTAAGAACCACCGAAAAATCTGCGTGTTCTCAGGGGTTACTGAAAACATTTCCCCTCATTTCACCTTCCGGGAGACGGCTTCGATTACCTAACCTACACGTCGCAGGATTCTGCTTCCGGGGGGAAGATGGACGAAGCGGACCTTCCGGTAGTGGCTGCTGCGGAGTCTGCGCAACCGGCCTGGGCGGGACCTTAGCTGCTAGAGCAGCGGGCGGAGAGGCGCCCGGGTCAGAGTAGGTCGCGCACAGCAGACCCTCGCTACCTGGATTCGCTTTATCTGCTCCTACTGAAGTGCTCATGACCGAGTTATCCGAAAAGGAGGAAATCTGTTTCGGGTGAGCCCAGGCCGTCCAGGAGATACGATGGCCGAGAAGCGGATACCGGAGACCAGACTGAGGTGGGCGTCCCGGCAGGGGGTGCAGCCGTGTTTGGGGCGGTCTTCACCTGGACTGAGAGGCATCCGAATCTCCAGAATGTTGAGACCGACCTCGCTTACTAAGATGTTTCCTCCTCGAGTGAGGAGTTCAGAGCGCCCTACTCCGTGGCGCGAGCGGGAAACTGAGGCAGCGGCGTCGGCTGCGTGAATCCGTTACCCTTATGTTCTAGAATTCTCTCATACCCATATATCACAAGTCCTTTCCCGGACCCAGTCCAGTCAGAACACACTTATGTACATTTTCCCTGTGCTGGCATCTAATCTCTCCCCGGGAGGCAATCACTTCCCCAGACAATCTTATTTGTGCTCATCATACATGACGTCAGTCATATTTTACGCACGCACACACACTCTCTCTCTCTCTCTCTCTCTCTCTCTCTCTCTCTCTCTCTCTTTTTGTGCGTTCACTGTCCGTCCTTTATCTTTGGCCCCTATCGATTAATGTTGGTGTATGTGGGGCAAGTACTGTTCCATAGACCTTGTTACACGTAATTCACAACTGTGGCAGTTTAGAACTTTCTAAAAGAAGTTAGTTTGGTGACTTGGCTTCTATCCTGGGCTCCGCTGTTCATGTGATCTTGGTCTAATCATTTAGCCTCTCTAAGCCCATTTCTTTTGTAGGAAGAAGGAAGCTGGATTAGATAATTCTGAGAGCCTGCTTAACAGCTCTTAAACCTTTGCCCTCTCAAACCATCTAGGGAACATTGTGTAGTCACAGTCCTCTGACAAGTTGGGAAAAAAGGGAGTTTAGCATCATGTGTCCAGATTGCAGTTCAAGCTTCAACTGTATTTTGGCTAAATCATAAGTTACTCTATGGGGCCTTAGATGAGAACTACACAATATTGTTCTTGTAAGGTGTGGCATAAGATTTTTTTTTTTAACTGAATTTTCCCGGTTTGTTTTCTTTAGGTTGGGTTTAAAACCAAGGTACAGAATTCTCATAGGAATGCCAACAGTGAACATGTCATGCCTACTTTAACACCCCATCACCTGAAGGCATGACAGCTAAGGAACATACATGGACTTGTGACACATGGAAATGTGTGCACAGAAAAAGGAAATCTGTAATTCTTTAGAAGTAATCAGGTGTTCTTCATCAAAATGGGCATATTCTGCTCAGTAATCAAGTTTGAAAACCTTCAAGAATTAAAGAGACTGTGTCACTGGGGTCCAATCATCGCCCTGGGAGTTATTGCAATATGTTCTACAATGGCAATGATTGACTCTGTGTTGTGGTATTGGCCCTTACATACAACTGGAGGAAGTGTGAATTTCATCATGTTGATAAACTGGACCGTCATGATTCTTTATAATTACTTCAATGCCATGTTCGCTGGTCCTGGCTTTGTCCCTCTGGGATGGAAACCGGTAAGAAAAGCATCCATTTTGACGATAATTATTATATAATTTTATCTTTAGTTTATCATGGTGATTGTATATTTAGTTTTTGCTTCATCTGCTAGCCATTACTACCAAACACAACCTGCTTTGTCCAAGTAGAGACTGAGTGTGCTACTCTAATCACTGACCACTTAGAATTGACATCTCTTTGAAAATATTGATGTAAAGTAGCTTTCCCAAAGCAATCAAAACTTGTTTTTTATCAAGAAAATCTCTCTCTCTCTCTCTCTGAGAGAGCAAGAGTGAGAACATAAGTGGATCTATGATGTTAATTGAATTAAATATTCCATATCTCTCTTGTAAGTTAATGCAGTTTTTCTAGGGTTTTTTGTTGTTGTTTTTTGTTTTTTCAGACAATACATTAATATCCCTTAAACTGTCTAAAACACTTTAGGAACTGCTGTTTTAAATCACAAAATTTAAAAATTATTGTGAAATTATAACATTGGGAGTTACAGTATGGACCAATTTATGGCTTCCTAAAAATGGTTAGATTGTGCTTATGAATGTTCACGTGCCTTGTGAGGGTTATCACTCAGTAGGGTGTTCGAATTGTAGAATCTTGACCTCCAGACCTAGCGAAGCAAAGTCTTTTTTTTTTTTGGTCTTTTTGAGACAGGGTCTCCCTGTAGCCCCAGCTGGCCTGGAACTCACTGTGTAGACCAGGCTGGCCTTGAACTCACAGAGGTCCACCTGCCTCTGCCTCCCAAGTACTGGGATTAAAGGCATGTGTCACCACACCTGGCATGAAGCAAATTCTTTTAACAGAATCCTCAGATGCATCTTAGGTTTGTTAAAATTTGAAATGCAAAGTGGGGAAGATGAGAGAGAAAAGTTATTCTGTGTGCAGTATATATTATTTGAATTATGTACAGTGAAAGGAGACAATTCGTATTTTGAAAACCCAGGAGAGGAACCAAGGCACTTGTGCAACAAAACTATACAATAGATTGTGATAAGTGTTGTTGCAGTTAGAACTGAGCACTTTCAGCTGGGGCCCTCCGGGAGAAGTGGCAGCTTACAAAGAAGAAAAGGAAGAGGGTATTTCAGGCTGAGAATAGATGGGGACTGCCTGTGTGACTGCCAAAATGATGTAGTGCAGAGAAGGGTGAAATAGAGGCTCAGGAATGCACGGGCGAGTGTTGGAGCACAGGAGAATCAGAAGTTGACAGGAAAGCTCTGCCATGGAGTTGTTCTATAGAAACGTTATTTGACAATACACAGTTTGAATTAGAAAGAACCTGCAGTAAAGAAAACTAGTTAGGGAATTACTGAAATGACCCCAGAGAAGGACGATGACATGTGTAATGTCAAAGAGGGAGAGGAAAGAGTTCAGAAAGTATCACCTCATATTCAAATCGCCACTCAGAAGTACCTGCCAAGTTATCACCTACTTTTTTCTAAAACTGCTTCCATTAAGATTTGGGGTGAGTAGAACCAGCTGATGTTGGATTTGGGTGGAACATGAGGAAGAGAAAATAAAAATGACCTCAGCATAATCAGGAGAGGAAAGCTGCTCTTCCAACAGATTTGTTGCTTAGAAGTATTTTAGCTCAGAGGGTTAGAAGTGCAAGTTAATATGCCACCTTCCCCCTCATTCATAGAAGAAATTCATACCATAGGAAAACATTTATTCATACAGCCTCACTTGTTAGTATTTAGGATCAAGTAATTAGCATGCTTTTTATTTTTTCTGTCAAGGAAAATTCCCAGGATAGCATGTATCTCCAGTATTGTAAAGTCTGCCAAGCATACAAGGCACCACGCTCACATCACTGCAGAAAGTGTAACAGGTATGTGGCCTTGTGCACTGGGGACTCGTCACCTTGGCCTCTGCTCATTTTGATGTTATATTTTCAACCATGACCGTAGATACTAGCTTCACTCTATGCAAGATACCTACTTTATCAAAAATTTTATCAAAATATTTGTTTAAAAAATTAAAAAGTAAATAAAAACAAAGTACTGTGTCCATAAGCTTTATGCAAATAATTGTATTCCTTTGTTTTTATAAGGGAAAGATTTTTCTAGAAAAATAGATATACCTTTGTCTCTCACCCTCTGAAAGCGAGGTAAAAATTTAGTTCTTGTTTCCGTGCGCTTTAGCAGGGCAGGTGCTTGTGGACTCATCTTGACTAGTTTTAGCATTGTTCCGAGTCTAAATGATGACAGACTGCTTTTCCCATTGCTCCTAAGTATTACCAAAAGTTTAATGGGAGGAAAACAGAATCACTATAAAAAATGCAAAATACACAAGAACTTGGATATGAACAGCAATATCTATTGATTAATAAGAAATTTTAGGGAATCATTGGCTATAACTAAAATTTGGTTTGAAACTAGAAAATTTCCCTTTAGCAAAGAAAAGAAACAGAAGCCCTGTAAGGTTCTGGTTATGCCATGCCGATACTGGCTGAATCAGCTCCGAAGCTCCATTTGAAGTGTGCTAAGAGGAAAGGAACTTAGAGCCGTGTGTGATCATGAACTACAGGGCCGATATAGAAGTCATTTTCCTGTCATGTTGGTCCTGTACTTCAGGCACTGCATGTGCATTCTGAGCTTGAGGAGAACTACAACCAGGCTCCATTCTTTATCATGAAAGTCCTGGTGTGCCTCCCGGCTTCCTGAGCCAACTTTATTTGTAGCTAACATCTTTTCCTTAGAAGTTGTTGTAAAACCTGCCCTTTTTAGTGCTGTTTAAAATTTTAAAGACATCACTGTCCATAACTTGGGAAAGTCTTGAAGATTGATCCTTCCGTTTCATGAAATAAACCCCCCTGTGACTCCTGATGTACTGGATTCCTATTTGCTTGATCTTTTGAAGACCAAAGCTCGATAAAGTAGACAGGATTCTCTGTTTATATTTCCTATAAATTCCTGTTAGATGTGTGATGAAGATGGACCACCACTGCCCCTGGATCAACAACTGCTGTGGGCACCAAAACCACGCTTCATTCACGCTGTTCCTCCTGTTAGCTCCGCTGGGATGTATTCATGCTGCCTTCATCTTTGTAATGACCATGTACACGCAGCTTTATAATCGGGTGAGTGAGCTCACTTGGTACACTGTCATTTGTGTAAGATTAAGTGGTACTTACTAAAATTATTTAAGAGGTCCCTTTGGAAATGTGTGGTTTAGCTAGGACAACAACTTTGCTTTACCTCTGTACCAGTCCTTTCTTTAAAAAATAAATAAATTTAATCTCTAAAATGAGAAAAGATTTTATTCTTGAAACTAACCTTACATGCTCTAGTTAAAACATGTATTTTGTTTATTACATTTCACACTTAGTAGCTATGGTAAGTGTAGTGTGTGGGGGAGCAGTTAGAAAAAGGCACACTAGTGCTTTCTGTTCCCACCCAGGTTCTTTTGATCATTTGTAACTCTGGCACTCTAGAAGAGGGTTCATGGGACAAGCATTCTCCCAAAAAGAAACAGATTAAACCAGAGCTGATTTATGGGCAGGTGGCAATGAGGGAAAGTTCAGGGTCCACAAATAAAAATCCCTAAATAGATCTGGAGGGAAAAGAAGGGACACAGGCCTGATGGGTGTGTGGCAAACTGGAAAGTACCTGTCCTTCACAGAGGAGATAACCCAGATTTGATTTTAGCCACGCTGTAGTGTATAGTATTTGCAGTTCTAGCCCAGTTATGCTAATTTTCCAGTATTTTAGGAGTCTGAATTTTTATGTGAATGCTCCAGATTTTTAAATGCTGGCCCGTAAGTTCTAATATTTTAAAACATTGTACAGGCCAAGCTATACAAAACTGCAGGGCCTGCTCATCCAGATTTTTACCAGCTGTCAACCACTGATTATGGAATATTCAGGAAGAAATACCTGCATGCTGTGCTGTATTTGTTGCTGGGAAGAGTACTGTAATTTAGACTAGCAAGGAGAAAATGGAGGCATAGTTCTCTGATGGTCTTCACAGGTGTTCATGTTTGTGGGATCAGCCTCTTCTGAGGAAATAAAAAATACTGACATTGGAGAAGAGCTAAAGAATGGAGTTGTGGAAACATATATAGTTTATCAGTAGAGATCTTGGTCAGCATGTAAGAAACCCTGGGTTTGAGTCCCAACACTGGAAAAAAAAACAATACCACACAGATCAGCATGAGCCCAAGCTATAGTATTCATTAGAAACAGCTGTGTTGGCTGTATTTTCTTTGGCAAGAGTGTTATCTTTTTGGTCACATTGGATTTTTTGTTATTGTTTTGTTTTTCCATGTGTCTTTATGTGGTGGAAGTCCAGGGCTAACAGCTCTGTGTTTTCCTTTTTCATTGAGGCAGGGTCTCTCCATTGAACCCAGTGTTCACAAATAGTCTAGCTAGCCAGCTTGTCCTAGGGCAGGCAACCATGGCTACTTAACATTTACATGTGTCCTGGGGATCCAAACTCTGGTCTTCATACTTGCTAAGCAAACACTTTATTCCCTGAGCTTCCTTCCCAGCCCTGGTCATGTTGTTTTAAATCAGAGTCTTTCAACAGTGTATGACCAGTTCCCTCAACCAAGCATTTCAAGTGTATGTATTGTTACTGTTTATAGCTCTCCTTTGGGTGGAACACAGTGAAGATTGATATGAGTACAGCCCGGAGAGATCCTCTTCCAGTTGTTCCCTTTGGATTAGCTGCATTTGCTGCCACCTTATTTGCCTTGGGATTAGCTTTAGGAACAACCATCGCTGTTGGGATGTTGTTTTTCATACAGGTAAATTTCTTAGTTACCTCTGTCTAAAAGCTGTCATGTTATTGGGACCAATTGCAATGAGAAAGAGATAAAGCCTGATGTTAGAATGAAGTATGAGATAGAAATGGCTTTTACTTCCATCTAGGCACCTAGTTTAGTCACCTCTGTACTAGAAAAATACATTTTGAAGCAATTTTACCAGAATTTCTAGCATTTGATTTGTGAAATGCTAACCTACATACACACTCATACACACACACACTCACACACATGTAGATAATCTTTATAGCTGAGAAAACTCTTCTCACTTTACAGTTGCTCATGACTGTCACATCATCCTAAAAGAGATGGACAGAACAATATTACTATCTTCCCTTAGAAATGAATGATGACTGTCAAAAAGGTTAAGTGACTTACTCACTGTCACCCATCCATGTACTTAGTAACCATAATTATTAATGCCATTTTAGAATAACATAGTTACTAATAACAGTCAATAATGTAGATACCACTTTTGCTGAGTGCTTGTGATATGCAGGGTACTGTTGCAGGGACTTTGTATGTATCAGCTCATTTGTAACAGCTCCATCAACTTGTTATTAATTCCTGCCCTGTGCTAAATTACTCTGCTAAGGTGCAATAATGAAAATGAAAAGGTTCCTTAGGGAACTCTTAGAGAATTCACACTTACTTGATTTTTTTTCTTAATGGCTATAATTAAGAATCATATTAGAAAAAAATTAAGGTCTTGAAGTATAAAATTTCACGAGTGGAATTATTCATATTAAAAGAAATAGGATGAAGGCTGGGCGAGGTGGCACACGCCTTTAATCCCAGCACTGGGGAGGCAAAGGCATGCAGATCTCTGAGATCGAGGCCAGCGTGGTCTACATACTGAGTTCCAGGCCAGCTGGGGCTACAGGGAGACCCTGTCTCAGAAAAAAAAAAAAAAAAAGAAGAAGAAATACAATGAAAACAAAATCACATTAGAAAATTCTCGCAAGATATCAGTACCTGCCAAAGATTTTGAGCCTGAGGTTCCCTTTCTGTTGGAAAGGATTAGGAATCTTTTTGGAAAGATTAGGAAGTGCTAGATCAGTGTTCAGGACACACCAGCATCACTCTGGGAACTTCTCCTTGACATAATGAGGTTGAATGAGAATTTAAAAGGGAAGAACTTTCTAATCATGTGACTTAATGCTACTTAAGGCAAACCACAGGACATCCTGTGCTGTCTGAAACACTGAGATAAGACATGAAAAGTGTCTGACCCAAAGGAGGTGGTCAGAGAATGTTTGTTCCCCTCTCCTACAGTTTTCCCACAAAGCCAGAGTATACATAAAAAGGAGTGCAGGCAAAATGCCTAAATAAATGGAGAGAAATATTGGGATTTCAACCTCATTATCTGCTGTGACTTGGCACACCCCACTGGACAGCTGGAGACTGGAGAAGAGAGGCTGCTGCCAAGAACACGTGACAAGGGATTTTCGAGCAATTTTCTGGAAACCAACAGTCCTGCACTTTACTATTTCATGGGCAGATATTGCTATGAGCTACATATAGATATATTATGGTACATGGTACTCTCTATTTATACCTGATGTGATAAACAATAAAACACTCCAGTGCCTTCCCAATCCCATTTGTGAGCTGGAGCAAGTCAAAAAAAAAAAAAAAAAAAAGGAGAATAATGACTGGACACATTGAAGCAAGCTCTGTTGGTTACTTTTGTTTCACTGGGACAGAATGCCCAACTTAAGGGAAGAAGGATTTGTGCTCACTGTTTGAGACATTTCAGTCCATTGTCTTTGACTTTGGAGATTGATTCCAGCCGATGATGAGGCAGAACATGGAAGCAAGGAGCATGTAGAGGAGGAAGCTGTTCACCTTATGGGGAGCAAGTCAGGGGTCGAGGGTCCCAGGCAAGAGTCAGCTGCCCAAAGACATGCCCCCAATGGCCACTTTTCCAGTTAGGCCACACCTAGTTTCCAGAACCCCCTAAAAAATAGTGCTGCCACCTGGGGACCAAGCATTCAGTGAGCCTGTGGAAGGCATTCCATATTCAGTCCATAACTTGAGAATATATAGATTGACTGAAATGAGTCATTGTTATGTTTTTAATAGATTAATTAAAAATTTAAAATTAACAAAAAATGCTAATACTAGGACTGGAAAGATAGCTCAGTGGTAAGAACACTTCCTGTGCAAGCATGAGGACCTACCTGAGTTGGGATCCCTACTACCCATATAAGAAAATAAGCTGGGTTTAGTCATGTGTGCGTGGAACCCCAGCACTCTTTGGGTGTGGGACAGAGACGGGGATTACTGGAATTACGTGCCACCAGTCTAGCTGAAAAATGGTGAGCTCCAGGTTTGGTGTGAGATGGTGTCTCAAGGAAATAGGACAGAGAGTAGTAGACAGAAGCACCCAGCCTCCTCTGACCGCCACACAGATGCACAGCACATACACACACAAATAATTGAAAATAGATATAAATATTGAGTGCATTTAAGTACTGATTGAACTATTTATTATCTATGTTTTATAGGTATCCTGAAAATCTTGTTACTTAAACCATGAATTGTAACTATAGTATTAGATTCAGGTTTGGTCATGGATGGATATGATCATTTTTACATTGAGATATTTATTGTAGGGCATTAATTAAGAAGTACTTGAGAGTCAGAGGGGCCACATACTAACTGTAACTCTACCTTTGCTGTCTTTGGTGTGTGTCTATGGGATAGAACAATAAAAGCTATCAGTTATTGGGATGATATTAATCTTAAATAAACCAAAGTCACATTATTAAGTTTCACTTTCATTAATTTCCAGATAAAAATTATTCTTAGAAACAAAACTTCTATTGAATCATGGATTGAAGAGAAGGTAAATTTTAATCATTGTTTGCTCACAGTATAATGTGTTAATAGACCAAATTTACTAAGTGCACGAATGTCAAAACTTGGCTGCAAGATGGTTCCTCTAGGTCATTTGCATGTCACATGAGAGTGGAAGCTATGAAACATTTTGATTTATTTCTACTTCAACATAATTCCTACAGAAATACATTTCTCATACTCCCTGAATTGCTAAAGACTTGCACACTACATAGTAAGTCTTTTGCCATTGTCTTTCAGACTGGAAAGAGACAGTCCATTTGAAAAAGTGCCAAAAGCATTTTAGACATTACATAAGGCCTGTGACACTTTGTCACAGACCTCACAACATGCAGCTCTCCATTGTGATTCTAGCATATAACACAAATCTGAATTCCCCCACCTAAAACATCTCAGACCCTCACTGTGACTGATAAATCCAAATTCATACAGAGCCCATTAGAGAACCAAAATGAGGGGACCCGGTATCCTTTTCAGAGAACTGCCTGATATGTTGTCATTGCCAGGTACTGCAAGACCTTCTCTTCCCCCCCCCCCCCCGGAGAAAAATTAGAGCTCTTGATTTTGTATGATGTCCTCTTAGTTTTTAAATGTTACCATGCTAGCAAGCAATTCAAATTAAATACAAACAAGTAACAAAACCTCTACCAACATAGCAAATTGAGGAGGATCAGGATACATGGATGGACAAAACCTTTGTGAGTCAAATGAAGCAGAGAACTATAGCTGTAGAACATAGCCCCTGGATTCCAGTTTGTAAATCTTATAGCAGCACTTCTTGGACTTTCTGATCTCAGAATCATTTTACATTCCCTGAATTGTTAGGTTTACTAAAGAGCTTTTACGTGTGCTATACTTATTGTTAATTGCCACATTTTCTAAGTGAAAGAATTTTAAGAAATTTATTTTTTAAAGACAGTAATAAACCCATCGTTAATAAAAACATTTTATGAAAAATTATATTTTGCAAATAAAAATAGGAAAAGTGGCCTTGTTTTATATTTTTACAAATCTATTATTTGACTTAACAGAAGACAGTTTTCGGGGCTGAAGAGATAGCTTAGCAGTTAAGAGCACTGGCTGTTCTTGCAGAAGACCCCGGTTCGGTTCCCGGCACCCACATGGTGGCTAACAACCATCCCTAACTCCAGTTCCATGGGATCTGACGCCCTCTCTGAGCTCCTCAGGCATTGCATGATGTGGGTGTATGTATATGCATGCAGGCAATACACTAATACACATAAAATAAAAATTATAAAATATAAAAAAAAATAAGACTTTCGGAGTCTCACATTTATTTCTGCAGTCTGTTGAGACATATTACTTTGGTTGATGTTAATGAAAAAAGTCCACCTTCATACAGATAAGTGGATAGAAAAGATTGCAGTATTAACATAGCTCTTTTAGAGACTAGAGAGATGGATCAGTAGTTAGGAGCACTGGCTGTTCTTCCAGAGGACCTGGGTTCAATTCCCAGCACCCATTTGGCAGCTAACAATGGTCCATCACTCCAGTTCCAGGAGAATTTGATGCCCTCTTCTGACCTCCTCAGCATTGCCCACCAGGGGTGCACCTACCTACTGTAGGCAATACACTCATACACATAAAATAAAAATCAAATAAATAAATAAGTAGATAAATAGACCTTTTAGATGATAATAATCTTTGATTCTATAAGTGACACCCCCCAATCCTCCCAGAATCTCCTCTCTCATCTCATGTATGCTTAGCAAGCACTCTCCCACTCATCCACATCCCCACACCCCCAGGCCAACAAATACCATTTCTTCACAGCAAACTTGTATTAAATTTTTTTTTGTATTAAAATTCATCAGTCTGTCTTGCTTCATGAGTGAACATTTTACCAGTACATGGTTTTTACATAACATTAGGCATTTGGAACATTGTGGTCTAGAGATACAGATTTTCTAAATGTTCACACCTTTCAGCTCTTCACTTGAATACCTGAATTTTCTTCCCCTGGCTGCAAATACTGACCATTGTTTCCTTGTTGCAATGCTCTTCTGACTTTACTTTGAAAAAAAAATTGACCAAATACCAATGCGATTCTGTTCCCTTAGAGGACCCTGCTTAATATCTAATACACTAAATAAATGTTATTACTGTATTGTGCAAATAATGACAAGCATAATTCTGTACATGTTCTGGGCACACGCTTTTTTTTTTTTGAGGAATGCTGTCTGTGTACTCAGTAGCTCAGATTGGTCTCAAACTTGTGATGCTACTACCTCAGTCTCCAGAGTTCTGGGAGTATAGGTACATGCAGCATATCTGGCTCAGATGAAATGTTTTATTCCCATCCATGAATAGTTGAATCCAAGGATATAGAGCCCGTGAATAGTGGTTGGGAACAGTGTATGACCAGTGCAGTGCTGTGCAACTGTCTTCTTACTAACATCCCAACAATTTCACCCCATTACAAATATGAGCACAATGAAAAGGCATATAACATCTTACATATTAAGAGTTTGACCTTCCTTAACCTCAAGAAAAGGTTGGTACAGGTTTCAGTTCAGCTTCTTTGGCATATACATTATTAGACCTTTCACAAAGTCCCCTTATTTGCTTCCTGATTCATTTCCCACCTTCTCTGCCCCATTGATACTTGTAGTTTATACATCTTATGCATCTTACTTTCTCATGATTTTTCCCTCTGTCTAGAATATTCCTCCCTCTCTTTTGACTGATTTCTTGCCCCTCAAGAACTACTTTAAGCATCACTTCCTCCAAAGAACCTTCCTTGACTTTCTCTAAGCTTTGTTAAGTACTCTTAAGCCCCAGCTTTCCTTACGTTTCTATGTGTCTATGTGTTTTAACACATAGTATGTCATCCATCCATTTTTTTTTTTTTTTGGTAAAACAGCCTATGTCTTGGTTTTTGAAATTCAGTCCATTTTGAAGACTCTGAAGCTGTCATTTAAAAGCAACTTTTTTTGTTGTTTTGTGGAGCAGATAATCAAGCCTGGTGTCTTACACATGCAAGGCAAATGCTCTGTGACCGAACCATTTTACCAGCACCAGGTTTTCATTTATAAAGAGGGAAAAGAAATGACCCTTTACTATCCAGGTGAAGATGGATTTATATAGCTCAACGGATTCATATTATAGCTTGACAATTCTTTCAGTAAATGGTAACATCTATATCACTTTATAAATAACTATAAAATGCTTGCATAAAATACTGTCTTAATAATCAAATATTTCAAAATATCATTCCTAATAAGCATAATAAACATGTTGGCATTAGATTAATTTTTCTTGATAATGAAAAAGGCCCTACATAGAGTTCCATATTAATCTAAAAGTTATTTTAAAGCTGGCACTTTATCACTAAGAAAATATTCAAATGAAATAAAATTCTAAAATGTTCATTCAGTGTGTTTGAACAGGTTTAATTTGTTGGGATTAATAATGTATCTTTGCACCAGTAGGTGTCAGTAGAGCTTAAGAAACTCAAAGCTAGTTTATTTCAAGTGAAGGCTAACCATTTAACTGCCTAAACTATAAGCTGTGCCATAAGAATATGTGTAACAAGTGCACGTAAATGAGTGTATACATGTGGAATGATATAAAAACATGAAATATATCTTGCGCATACTTTCCACAATTTTTTTTTTTTTAAAGAGCCTTCTGTTAACCCGTCCTGGCTCTTCACTAACCTTAACCAATACTTTCTCTGGAATCATTATTAGAATCCCTTCTTTTTACTTGTATTCTCTTATGCTGCTAAGCAACCAGAATCATCAGGTTTTCTGCATACAGGATAAAGTTAGCTAATTCTGCTATAAGCCTTTTGAGTGCTTATTCTTAAGGGCACCCTGTCAGGTATTTTCTGGGTGTTCACATGCAGGTTAATGTTCTAAGTCAAATCCCTCCTATATTGTGAGAAAGCCTGTTTTCTGTAAACACTAATATTTTAGCAATAAGAAAATATTTTTATGAATGATATACTTTTGAGGGTAAGTATTCTCAATAATGTATTACCAAAAGCCATGTTAGGCATAATTATCTGCCATTTTATATCTTTGTTTCCCATAGGCTAAAGATCGAATTCAGTATTACCAACTAGATGAAGTCTTCATTTTTCCTTATGATATGGGAAGTAGATGGAAGAACTTTAAACAAGTATTTACATGGTCAGGAGTCCCGGAAGGCGATGGACTGGAGTGGCCAATAAGAGAAGGCTGTCACCAGTACAGCTTAACGGTAGGTTTTGTTCACCTACTTCTTTAACTCTGGAATTTTATATCAGAAATATTTTCAATGTGCCAAAATAGTTCTAATATTCATAGAACACTTCTTGGTATTTTGTTCTGTCCTTTAGTTAACCCTGAGTGTTCTAGAGCTGTGTGATAAAATCCTGATTCTTTAACTTTGCTTCATAATATCTGGCCTATAGCTGCCTTCTGTTCTGAAGCATCACAATGATTCCTTGTTCATTCCTGCCCATATCTTTGCTCACACTGATCTCTCTTCCTCACATGCCCTTCCCTCATCTGTTCATCTGCCCAGATCCAGTTCTACCTCTCCCCTACAGACCAGCTTCCCTACTCCAGTCTCATGTGATGGACACTAGTCATGTGCTACTATCTTGGAGCTCATGAGGTTTCATATTTTCTGATTTCTTTTTTCTCAAACTTGACAAGATTCTAGAACAGACTATATTTCTCTGGTTGTGTCTGATATAGCACTATTTAAGTTTAATAGCTGCTGACTAAAGGGAAACTGTTAGAATGATGACTTAGTCAGGACTTGTTAACAAATTTTGCAGTTTGTCTGCTAGAGAATGAGTGGATCTCAACCTAGAAACTTGGAGGTACAGAGAGCATACCTGCCTGGTTCCTGGGCCACGTGGGCATTTTAGAATTACGTGTCAGTGAAGACATTAGAGAGTAGATCCTGAGGGGACAGTCCCAATACCAGACTATGACTCAGCCAATATGAAATGTTGGAAACTTGGGGGGAAGGTTTCATGACAGATACTCTGATAGTAGAAGAGGGTAGGCTATTTTTCAGCATTGAGACAGGAAGCTTAATTTTTCTTTCCTTTTATATCTTCCAAACAGATAGAACAGTTGAAACAAAAAGCAGATAAAAGAGTCAGAAGCGTAAGTAACTTTTTTTGCAATAGTACTAACATCTGTTTTCTTTACCAGGCACTGTGTTTCTGTATAGTTTAAGTTGCCTTTGAGTAGGGCTTTTACTAAATAACATCTTTTTAAAAAATTTTTCTATTGTGTATTTTGTGTGTGTGTGTGTGTGTGTGTGTGTGTGTGTGTGTGTGTACAGCACAGGTCAGAGAACAAACTGTGTAAGTTTCCTTCCACCATGTAGGCTCCAGGGATCGAACTTGGGTCATGAGGGCTTGGCAACAGGCACCTTTACCCACTGACCCATCTTCCTGGATCTTAAATAATATTTCTTAGTGTATTTGTTGAAATTTGATACAGTTAACTTTTGTTTTCTTTTAAATACTTTAACTGGAGGTTTATAAGATATATAGTCAATGTTTGTGGCCAAAATAGAAAAATGTAAAGCTGATGAAAGCCCATCTTTAACCATGCTGTAAGATAGAATGCCTTTAGCCACCTGTTTAAATACTATTAAGTTCTTTGTTTTCCACTAGCTGCATTATAAGCACTTAGTAATTACATGTGTTTACTTGGCCACCTATTCAAGAACACAGAGGACATACAGAACATTTCCATCACTGCATCTTGGAGTTTAAATTCTTAATAGCTGTTAGTTTGAAATGAGGGATAAGTAAAACGCCCGAGAACTAGAAGTGCCACTCCCTTCTGTGGGGAGCAAGGGATGGGGAATTGGTAGGAAAGAAGACTTATGGCTAGATGTGTTGGATCAGCCCTTAAAATGTTTGATTCAAACTTGAAAGAACTCATCTGGAAAATACTCAGATTGTGCTTTTGACCATCGATGGCAGGTTCGCTATAAAGTAATAGAAGATTATAGTGGGGCCTGCTGTCCTTTGAATAGAGGAATCAAAACCTTCTTCACGAGCCCCTGCACTGAAGAACCTCGAATACAGCTGCAGAAAGGGGAGTTCATTTTAGCCACAAGAGGGTTACGGTAAGTGATGGGAATATTGCATTTCTTCAGTGGCAAAATTGACATCTTACCTTTAAAATATTTAATTTAATCTTTTAAATATTTCAGATACTGGTTGTATGGAGACAAAGTTCTTGATGATTCCTTTATAGAAGGTATGGAAGTGGGAGGGTATGTTTAAAGGGTGTGACCACTAGCAGTAATTCCAGATTTGCAAGAATAATTTCATGTTATCACATGTGAAATGCATAGGGAACTGCATAGAAGGGCACACGATTGAGCAACAGAAAAATGCTCCTTGTGCATCTCTCCACAGCATTTGTATTTATTAGGTCTTTGTGATGATGGCCAGCAGTTGAGATCTTACTTGACTATGTGGCAGGTTCTTGTATAGGCACTTCACATATGATAGTAATATGCCCAATAGGGACTTACGGGTAATAGTAGATTAGGTGCTCCCTTGATGTGACCTAGTAAAAGATGATAATCGAGATAAAATACAGTATTTCCAAGAAGAGAAATAGCTGAAGAAAAAAGAAATGAGCCTAAGTTGGATTTTTGCTGCAAAGAAACCACCAAGCCAGCACCTACTAGCTGCTCCACAGTCCTCGGGCCAGGCCAAGGCCATCAGTAGCTGCTAGGATGGCATGTCCTCCTCCTGGACATGTGTGCTGTAGAGAGACTACCCATGCCATAGATATCCAATGGACCTGGACACAGTAAATATGGAGAGATAGCTGGAGTAGAGCAGCTGCAGAAGTGTGGTCCCTGAGTTCTTCATGAGCACCCTAGAGTTAACTGTCTAAGAGGCACAACTCCACCACTCACCCCATGGAGTGAGCCTCATGGAGTCACAGAAAGCCTACTGTGAAACTGCCCAGTCTTCTAGCAGGCATGCTGAAAAAGTACCCTCCTGTTGACAAAGGTAAATACGGCAGGTGGGCCTTCCACGCTCACACAGAGCTTAGTCCCAGCAGGCCCTGCGTGTGGAATGAAACAGCCCCAAAATGCAGGAGACAGAGTTGTAACTGACAAGGGGACTGGCAAATTGCAGCAGAAATTTCCTCTCATCAGGACGCGCACACTGATGTAATTTTCTTGAATGTGACTAGCAGCCCAATCCCTACCTGCAGAGACTGCTGCAGAAGACGATTGAGAGAGGGGCAACCACTAGGAAGAACTGCTGGCCAAGTTGTATTCCTTCTCTTTAATTTTACTCTTTTTCGTACTTCGGGCTTTATTGTTCAGTTGTTTATATTAGCTTGTGTCAAGCCTACATGGGCTTTTATGACTGTGCTCTTTCTCTGCACCTACTCCACAGTATGTCTTTACTGTTCGTATCCCTGAACCAGACACCCTCCTTCTCATTCATACTTGATCTCGCTCCCTCTTTTTCCCTACCCTGCTCATCTCACTACTTAGAAATACGTAGTTTAAAAACTAGAAACTACATTATTCCCCAGTCAGTGCCCTAATGCCCCTGTCTCTGAGCTTTATTGGGGACACAAGGGAAGTACCCAAATGTCTTCCCACTGCAGGCTAACCCCAGTACTGCTGTCATTACATCTGTGGCTGCAGTGAAGACAACTCCCAGGAAGACACACATGAAATAAAACTAAAAGTGGGAACATGCAAAGTATAAAAACTTGAGTATACATTCTTCCCAACAGATGAACAAAACAAAGTAAATAAGTAGGAGACAGTCATCTCTACAAGCTCACAACTCCTCAGTACCAGAAACCAAAAGCGTAAGGTAGCTAAAGTGGTAAAAAGAGTTTTAAGAGTCCTGCTTCTAAAAAGCAATGACGACTCAAAAAGTGCAAAAAATTTAGCAAGAAAGTGAGATGGAAAAAGAACCAAAAATGTGGCTAGACATGAAAGCTAGTCTGTCAGATGAAAACTAAAGGAGAAAATATGATCAACAAAGACCAAGCAGAACAAATGTCAGGATGGATGACTAGGTTGGGACAGCAATGCATGCAAACATATATGAAGGAAAATAAATCAACTAGCATGTCCAGAACTTCAGCAGCTTTGGGATAAAATCAAGAGAACTAAGCCTAAGAATCTGTAGACCAGAAGACGGACAGAAAGTCTGAGAGCATGGCAATTTAGTCAGCGAAACAACAGAAAAGTTCCCAAACCTAGAGAAAGAGTGGACATTCAAACACAAGTTGCATTTGGAACCCCAAATAAACATAACCAGAGAAGACCTTCTCTATAGCACATCATAGTGGAGATGTCAGAAATGTGAAGCAAAGAAGAAAAGCTGTAAGGGGAAATGCCAGCTTCCTTGCAAAGGGTGACATGTCAGAATGATTCAGAATGATAGCAGCTCTCTTGTCAGCAACTCTAAATGCCAAAACAATATGGACTGGTCGATGTCAAGCCCTGAAAGCAATTAACTGCCAACCGAGAAAACAAATGACAGCAGGTCTGGTAAGGATGTGGAGAAAGGGGAACCCTTACTGCTGGGAATAATGTAAACTGATGTAGCCAGCTTGGAAATCAGTATGGCGGTTTCTCAAAAAAAAAAAAAAAAGAAGGACAAATAGAGCTCTTATATTATTCCGCGGCAAGGATTGTACAGTCCCATGGTACATGCCTGATGCTGCTCACTCAGCCACAGGTGCTGCCCTAACTGATAGGCCTCTGGAAGCAGGCTGACTGGAGCAGTTGAGGAGTCCTGGTTTTATTTTCAGCAAACCTGTTTTGTTTATTCAAATTTATTTCCACTATCTTTTGGAGGGAGTGAGGTTTTTAAAAAAAAAAAAAAAAAGAAGGAAAAATAGAGCTATTATATTATCCAGCGGCAAGGATTGTCAAGTCCTACCACAGATGGCTGCACATCCATATTATTGCTGTGTTGCTCACAGTAGCAAAGAAATGGAACCAGCCTAGATGTCCACCAACAGTGAATAGCTAGATTAAATATGGCAGATAGTCAAATTATATTCAGTTTTAAAAAATGAAGTCTCATCTGCAGGAAAATGGATGCAACTAGAAATTATGTTAAATGAAATATGTCAAACTCAGACACATAACTTTTTTTTACTCATCTGAGGATACTAATTTTCAGTGTGTAAGAGACTGAGGCTAGGAAGGGGAAGAAGAGGTCTGGAGAGGGAAAGTGGTTGAATATATGACATGAAAACAGGTTTATTGGGAGGAAGGGAACCCGTAGAACTGTGGAGGGCAGTGGGAGAGATGAACCGATAAGGAGAGCTAGGTAGTCTCACTCCAGTTCTGTGCATCATACCCTCTGCTATGTGCTCCCCCTTAAGTGAACATTCCTTTTCACTTTAAAACTAAGATTGAAATTTGATTGTTGTTTTTTTTTCAAAAATCTTTCTTTTTAAAGATTTAACCAGGATGTCTTTCTTCAGATTACTTGGTTTTAATCATAAGTTAACCCAATTATGACAGCTTAGACAACATTGGTGTGGAAATTGATATTCTGAGAGTGGTGCACATACTTATGACCCCAGTATTGAGAATGCTGAAGCAAGAGGATCACAGATTCAAAGCTGTCCTGGACTACATAGCAAAACTCTGTCTCGAAACAAACAGAAACCTAGAAAAAAGTCTTACAAAGGAAATTGATAAATTCTTAAAGGCTATAGGGAGATTATTCCTTGGAATACTGTGGTGGTGTGCCAAAACAGCCACATATTAAGTAACAACCCAATTCCAGTTACGCACTGTGTAAAGCACACTAGCCCTTTCCCAGGTGATAGGATTTAGGAAATAGCCATTTTCTATCTTGTTAGAAGCATTTAAAAACCATACCCTTCCCCTCTTCCTTCCTAACTTGTGTTTATAAGAGATAATGAAGGGACAGCAGGAACTCTCACTAAAAGCTTGTGTTAATTTGAAGTAATACACTTTGTCCCCAGTAATGTCACTTAGTCATCTGGCTGTTACACCTCAATTTCACTTTCTCCCTCAGGTACTTCAAGAATAAGAGGATGGTTTCCTAGAAACTGTGTGGAAAAGTGCCCCTGTGATGGTGAAACAGATCCAGCCCCAGAGGGTGAGAAGAAAAACAGATAGCCACTGTTAACAGTGAAAACACTCTTTAAGTCCCCTACATTACTTGAAAATTGTATATATTACCCAAGAATTATGCAATGAGCCTACTCTGGTTAAGGTGTTCTTTTCCTCAGAGGTGCCCTAGTGCCATGATTTGAATATTTTTCTTACCATTTTGAAATGGAGAAGCCATTCTGCATACGCCTTTGAACTCCTGCCCCTCTGCCTCACTTCTTCCCCCTAAAGGAAACTGTTTCTTCTACCCCAGTAAGCAAATTGCATTTTCTCTAGGGTTTCTATGTGCTGCACACCGTGAACCTCACCTGCAGATCTAGTTCCCCCTTAGCCAGGAGCATCTGCATGTGATAGTTTTGTTTCTTCCTCAGTTGACACTTCTTTCTTAGTATTCTAGATACTATAGAACTTGTCAGATTCTATGTAAATTCAAATTTTGTTACTTGTCTTTTAATAATGCATATTTTGTCAAATCCAATAAAGATCAATGGTTGTTCTGTAAAGAGTACAGTTTTCACTTAAAAGCATTTTTTCCTCTTGCTGACTATAAAGGTTTATCTTGAGTGCTTATAAAAGCACTGCCTTGCTACACCCTGTGAAAACTTGATATCTTGAATCATGAGTCTTAGACATGACATTCAGTTCAATATATGAACCCTACTAATGGCATATGGAGCTCACAGCATTCTCAGAGACTTTAAATGTAGTGATTATCAAACTCTGCATACTTCAATATGTCAAAAACTGAAGCTTGTGCAAGTGGTGAGATCCAAGCTAGTGACTTTGGAGCTTACAGTTGAGTGTGTCTAAATAGAGGGAGACTTCAGTAAACTACCCCAGCATTCCAAGGCAGGGAACTTGAGGCTTCAGGGGTCAGAGTTTTAATGGTTCAGAATGAGGAGATAGTACCTGGGCACTCCACAGTGAAACAAGCATGATTTTACCCATTGCAGGAGCAGAGGTGGACAGATAGGTCAGATGGAATCATGTTCTCGAGAAGGTGGGGTGGTCTTGAGTTGGCATTTAAAGCAGATAGACAAGTCATATGCTTCTGAGGATGGGAATGTCTGCATGTTAGGCAGAGAAACAGAAACACAAGCTGCAGTGTACCTGACATGTTTTGAGATCAGAAAGGCAGCCAGTGAGGGTCAGCTGGAGTGAGGGAGGAGAATTCAGAAAGGCAAGACAGATGAAGGCACGAGACTGCAGAGGGCCCCAATGGTCATTCCTACCTTCCCTTTGTTTCAGGTACTCAAGAACAGACATCTCTTGGGCCTTACTGAGCTCAAGGTATAGAAAAACCATCCATGAATATTTTCCTTAACTCCAGTTAGAAGCCAGAAAGGAATACTACTTAAGATTACAGTAAACAGAGGTGGTAAAGGAAAAGAATGTGAGCTAGTGCTCACAGTTGGGGCCTGGCATAGGTATATTCCTCAAAGCCTGGTCCTGTCACTTTATCCCAGTAGTTCTCAAACTTTATTGCATACTAGAATCATGTGAGGCTCTTGTTTTTGAGACAGGCTCTCAAGTAGCCCAAGTGCCATGACCTGGAACTATGGTAGCCCAGGATATCCTCACACTTGCAGCAATTCTCCCACCCCAGCCTCCTAAAGGCCAGGGTTACATGTCTGTGCCAACACACCTGGCTCCAAGGCTGTTTAAATCACAAACCCTGGGCAAGCACTCTGTCATTGTGTCATATTAAATGCTGGCAATTCTAGTGTGCAGCCAAAATTTTACAATCACATGATTTTTGCACAATCCTTATTTAACGCCGATTCTTATCATAGTCCATGAGGCAGCAAGCACAACATAAATTATCTGCATTAGTTTATTTCAAAGGTTGTACATTTACAAGTAAGGGCACCACATGCTATCTAACAGTAAGGTACTACAGGAGAAATATCAGTAGATTGCTTCACAGAAGGTAAGCCTGTTGTGCAGGCATCATGCTTGCCCATAGATCTTTGTCCCAGTGCAGGTTTAATTCAGTGCTCGCTTCATTTACTGGGAAAAGTCACTGGACATTTGTTTCCACTCCTTCCCCCAGAGCTTCCAGGTCAGCAAACTGTAGAGAACAGATGACATCACCAGCTACCACTATAGATAATGCTTTAGAACAGCATTCTCCTTTTACACAACCTATGCTGTGTTTTAATAGTCCCAACTTGGAAGTCTAACTAGGAAAGTTAAGCAACACTTAGCATATGCAAGCTTTTCCCTTTGACATAGATTTTAGCGTACACAGAAGTACACAGAAGAAATCTGTCACAGAAATAGGATTAGCACAAGTGACACATTAAAACTTTCCAGAAAATATTAGTGGTTTTGTGAAATAACTGGAAAATATGAATTATCAACAGATTGTTTAGAACTTGAAAATCACTTAATGTCTTAGAAAGACATAAGTAAGTGCTTAGCCTGCCAGCAAGCAAAATTTTATTATAAAACAGGCATCCAAGGGGACCCTTTAACCCTTGAACTAGTGAGCACTCAAAGATGACCCAAGGGTTGGTGATTATAATGAAGTGGCACAAAACACAAATGGTGACCAAGTAGCCAAAAAACATAATGTCAACAAAATCTAAGCTGGGAAGAGTGGGTCTTAGCTCTGGGCCAGATTCCCACATTGTAAGTATCTTAGTATTACAAATAAATAATTATGGTTTGATAGTACAGTAGATAAAACAGGTACGAGGAAAGAGAAGGGAGGAAGAGTTTTTAATTCACATTTTCTCATGCAGCAAGGAGTGGGCAACAGGCTTCTCAGGGTCCCTTTAGCAGTAAGTACCTTAACCTACTCCTGGATACTCTCATAGAGGCTCTTGATTTGGGTCTGAAAGAATTTGGAGAGCTCTACTCGTTTTGCCTTCAATGTTGGTGTCAAGAGCCCATTTTCAATGGAGAATTGCTCTGGGTAGATAAAGATGTTCTTGACCTGGAAGACAAACACATGATTATTAATGATTCCAAGTTTTGCTGCCAAGTGCTCAGTGCATAAGCATATTTCACCTTATAAAAGACTGACAGAGGGCAAAGGTTCAATGACCCATGCCTTTTTTTTTTTTTTTTTTCGAGACAAGATTTTCCTGTAGCCCAGGCTGACCCCAAACTTAACTACATAGCTGAGGCTGACCTTGAACTTCCTACCTCCTGAGTGCTGGGTTACAGACATGCCACCACACCAGGTTTATGTGGTGACAGGGGATTGAACCCAGGTCCTTGTGCCTGTTACACAAGGATTCTGCCCACTGAACTACACTCTGCCTGTTAGGCTGTTGTCATTTGGGAAAATAAAGTAGGGAGAATGAACAGCAGAAAGTAGACGCTACAGCCACTGCCATTTGTAACTAAATCTAAAAATCAGTTCTTGGGAAATTATAGGCTTAAACCCATTATAGGTGAGAACTTGAGATGGAACTTTCTAGAATGGCTGAGGGATCAGGATATAAACAGCAGTACATACCTGTTCAAAGGATTTCAGGCCACCTTCTTTTCCAACTTTCTGCAAGTCTTCAAAAATGGCTTTCTTTACATTCTAAAAATACAAAACATCCCTTAAAGCATATATGTTTGAAAAGAGGTTTAGATGGAAGGCTAAGTGAGAACCTCCAGGCTGTGGGTGTGTGATGGATGCTCTGAAGTCACACTCACTTGGTTTTGGCACAATTCTTCAAAGGATCCCTTAACCCCAATCTTGGCAGCAAATGCAGGAAGCACATCTGGATCAGGAACCACCACTCCCACAAGCGACGACTGTAGGAAAGAGGCAGAAACACATGGGTTTGAGAAGACTCGCACAGGGACATGGTCTTCTGGGGGGGGTGAAGACCAAAATTAGGTCATTGTAATAAGACAATCAGCCTAAAATCCAGTGCTCGTGTCCCGCTCTTTCTCTCATCAAACACTGTCCCCCTCATCATCTCATTGCAGAGATGTTCTACCCAAATTTGATTCTTCAAAAAGAAATGATAGTCATGAGGCATAAAGAATCCCTAGCCTAGGGGGCTGGAGAAATGACTCAGTTCAGATCACTGGCTGCTCTTGCAGAGGACCTGGGTTCAGGTCCCAGTATCCACATGGTGTCTAAAAATAATCCATAATTCCAGTTCCAGGAGATCTGACACCCTCTTTTGGTCTCCACAGGCATGGGTTCACTTACATACATGCAGGCAAAACACTCATACATTAAAAAAAAAAAAAAAGAATTCCTAGTCTATGCATACTGAAACCATGTCCCATAAAAAACAAGGCAAATTCAAGTGCAATATATAAAATACAGGGGGGGG